GTTATAAACATGGTAAAGGTTATAAGCATGTTAGAGGTAAATGTTATAAGCACGTTAAAGGTAAAGGTTATAAACATGGTAAAGGTTATAAGCATGTTAGAGGTAAATGTTATAAGCACGTTAAAGGTAAAGGTTATAAACATGGTAAAGGTTATAAGCATGGTAAAGGTTATAAGCATGTTAGAGGTAAAGGTTATAAGCATGTTAGCGGTAAAGGTTATAATTATGTTGAAGGTAAAGGTTATAAGATCATCTCCAAGCAGCTTGATGTTCCTGTGACTACAGCTGCACAAATTATTCAGACATTTAAGATCCATGGGACTGTAGACAGCCTCCCTGGACGTGGCCACAGGAGGAAAACTGATAACAAATCAAAGAGATAGATAATACGACTGGTAACAAAAGAGCCCAGAAAAACTTCTAAAGAGATTAAAGGTGAAGTTCAAGGTCAAGGAACATCAGTGTCAGATCAAACCATCCATCGTAGTTTGAGTCAAAGTGGACTTAATGGGAGACCCAAGGAGGAGGACACCAAATCATAAAAAATAACTACATGTTGACAAGCCTCAAAGCTTCTGGGACAATGTCCTCTGGACAGAGGAGAAAAAAATACATATTTTTGTTAAGGCACATCAGCTCCATGTTCACAGAGGGAAAACTGAATCATATGAAGAAAAGAACACTTCCTACTGTGAAACATGGAGGAGGTCTGTTGTGGTCTGGGCTGCTTTGCTGCATCTGCAGGGGGTCTTGAGTCTGTGCAGGGTACAATGAAATCTCAAGACTATCAAGGATACTAGAGAGAAATGTGCTGCTCAGTGTCAGAAAGCTTGGTCTCAGCAGCTCATGGGTCTTCAACAGGATAATGACTAAAAACAGCCAAGAATGGCTCAGAGGAAAACACTGGACTGTTCTGAAGAGGTCTGCTGTGATCCTGACCTGAACCCTGTTGAGCCTCTTTGGAAGGAGCTGAAACATGAAACCTGAGACACCTGGAGCAGTTTGTTCATGAGGAGTGGAACAGATACCTGCTGAGGTGCAGACGTCTCAGACAGTTACAGGAATCACTTGATTACAGTGATTTAATCAAAAGGTTGTACAAAATATTAAATAATTTCTGTCCAGGCCTGTTTTATGAGTTTTATTTTTAAATTATTATTCTGTTGAATCATGGCTGAAAAGAAATTCCTGACTTTCATTTGTTCGTTTTATAGAATTTTGATTCAAGTTATTTCTGTGACCATTGTGGGCTTTTCTTTAAACAAGGGGCACCAACAGTTTTGTCCACGTGTGTACAACTTTATAAATTAAATCAAAATGCAATGATTTGTTAATATTATAAACCCATTTTATTCACAATATAAAGTAAATATGACAAACTGTACCATTTGTAAGACAATAAAAAGTCTATTTGTATTTAACGGCAGTGGAGCTGATCTTCAGGCCTTCAGAGGACACTGCATTAAAAACAGGTCTGGTTCTGATTATTTTTGCTATCTGCCAATGCTGATTAAAGCTCTATCAGACGAAGAAGAAGCCATATGTGAACATCACCCAGAACCACTTCTCTGAACCAATCTGGTTTAAAATGGACCGAGACAAAGAGCAGAACTGATTTAAATTTTAAACTCTTAAGAATCCACAATCATGTCATCCTCTGTTAATGGGAGGGACCATCCAGCCTGCCGTCAGCTCTGCTTGAAATCCTGTGCCTCTCTGATGGTATGGGGGTGCATTAGTGCCTCTCTGATGGTATGGGGGTGCATTCGTGCCTCTCTGATGGTATGGGGGTGCATTCGTGCCTCTGGCATGAGCAGCTGGCACATCTGGACATGAGTGCAGATAAAAGTGTGTTCAGGTTTTAGATCAACACAAACTCCCAACGTCTTTGATGTTTTGCTGCCATTAAATAAAATGACAACAAGGTTTAACTATCTTTTTTTATTTAGACACATTTGCTGTTTTATTGTGAATAAAATATGGCTTCTGTTTGTTTTTACATTTTATGCATTAACTTTGTCAGAACTGAGGCTTTCTGCAAAGTCTTAAAGTCTAAAACAGATTATTCTCATTTTCAGTCGTTTAGACCTAAATATATCCAGATATTTATTGAAGTACTAAAAACAGTTATATCATATAAATTTGTACATTTGTTCATTGGGTCTTTCATCAACATTTATTTAATGCACTGTCAGCATTAATTTGTTAGTCTGAAGGGATTTATTTAGACTTTTGGACGACTTTACAAAGGATCCAGTATCTCTGCTCTTCAAACTGTTTCTTCAAATTAAATGATTTATTAGATTGAATTAGAATTTGAATGAAAGGCAATAAAATGTTGTAGGAGTTTTACGTCTTACATCCTTCTCATAACTTAGTTATGAGGAATTGAGAGTTCTTTAATACAGATAATAAAACCTTTTCTGTGTCATTATCATGAATTAAACCAATGAGTAACGTAGTCAGTAAAGTTTTATCTAAAATAAATGATATTTATTTACAAAAACAATAACTTATCTACAAGACTCATTGAGGGATGATCAGATGTTTACAAAAGTTGAAATCAAAAACATTTAACTCGAATGTGTTAAATCTCGTTATTTTGACAACTTTATCAGGAACAACAACGTTTGGCTTTAGATGTTAAATAAACCACTGTTGAGGCACTTATTCTTAAAGATTTTGACAGGATTTGGGAAAGAATTTAAGAGTTTAGGAAGGAAAAGGTTTGTTAAGGAGGGAACTAGATTTTATCTTATCAAAGTGAGGAGCCAGGAGGGTTTGGGAAGTCTCGCTCGACACAGCCAGGACGCAGCCGCTCTGTAATCAACCAAGTTCAGCTTTTACCTTTTCAGACTTCAAGTCAGGTTTAAGCGTGGCGGAAGTTGACCCGGGTCAGGTTTGGGATCCGCTCAGAAACCTTCAGAACCGACCAGGTTGTCAAACTTCAAGGAGTTGATTATCTCGGGTCTAGTGGTCTCTTGGCTTCGTGCGTGGAGAGTCACAACCGACAGGTTCCTCGGATCGAAAATAAAAGCATCTCCAGAAGTTCTGAATGAAACTTMCTGGAGTTTGCTGGTAATTTGGTCCACAACTGAAGGTGTCATGGACTGGGAGATAAGATTGCTCCTTGGCAACATGAGCTGAAATCTTATCACCTGAACGCTGGTTTTTCCTGAGGAGGATAAACTCAGCTCTTCTCTCTTCAAAGAGAAGATGGAGACTGTTCTGGGGAGGCCCGCCCGTTGTTAGTTCTAAAGGAGGGAGAGAGAAAAGAGGGTACTATCAGGCATGGCCTTGAAGCTGTTAGTAAGATGGAAGTGAAGTTTAGTCTGGGAGAGTTCCACTGGTCTGTTGAAGACTGCCTCAGTCAGCAAAAACAACACCTGTTAAACAGCTAAAACCTTGATTTGATTTGATTTGATTTATTTATTTAACAGGAAAAGATTATTAAAAATCAAGCCTGACTCAGCATAATTGCTGTTTTACAGCAGGTTCCTGTTCTGCAGCACATAAACACTCAGAAATACAGCATCACAATCA